GAGAATAATTCATCCTTAGTTACGCTTGAAGTTCTTAAACCACTGCCGAAAGCAGATTCCGCTAAATCCAAAATGGGAGGAAAAATGAAACAAAAAACGGCCATACTAACCGATACACCAGAAAAACTGTTAATCGAAGCACAAAATTTGAAGAAAAAAGTCCCAATGAAATATAGCCTTGACCAAGTTCAAAATGTGAAGGAAAAATCGCTGCAATCAAAGACACAAAAAATAAGAGTAGGAATATATCCAAAAAGAAAAGTGCACCGAAAGACGACACTTTTTCAGATACTTTTGACGAACAAACCCTCTGTTTGGTATGTTTTGGTCCATATTCTAAGAGCACAGAAGACTGGTTGCAATGTCGGGAATGCAAAAAATGGGCACATTTAAATTGTTCAAGTAAAAGTCCATTTTATGTTTGTGTAAATTGTAACTCTGACTGCGACGACTAATTAATAGAATTATCTAAGAAGATGTAATGAAAAAGTTTATTTTCAGTATGTTATGTTTCCTTTCGAATTGTTTGATGTTCTGTTATTTTTGATATTAGATTTGGCCAAAGAAATAAATGTTTATTTTTACTATTTACGTCTTTATTTGTCATGCTTTACCTTTTTAAGTCAATGCACGGATCTGTTACAATTGACGCTGACCCTGCTACTATTGTCACCTCCTAGGTGACAATTGTAACTCTTGTAACTGTTCCCTCTAAAGCATTACCATTTCATATTTGCGACACGAGTACTGTTTTAGAATTCAAAACAGTTTTCTCTGGATTGCTGTACTTGTGATTACGGTAAATTGAAAGTTTTAAAAAGTAACCAGAACTCAGAAAATAATAAAATATTAATTTTGTTACAATTGACACCGGTCTCCCCTACTAAAGAAAACAAACTACAGTATATTCAGATAAGAGATAGACCGGACATAAACAAGACCACGTGATCATCGAACGCTGTAACATTCGGCAGGGACGTATTAAAAGTCACGCAGTACATATTTTAGATAGTAGATGCTGCTTTGCGTAACTTTGTAGTAAATTAGCACAATTCGATCTGTATACGATTGGTGATGGATATAGGATCATGTGGGGGTGGGGTAAGAAATATATAATGATGTAAATATACATAAGGGTTTCAAAATTTTCGCTTCGATTTCCAGCTTCGGATGTCGCCTGATGTTTGGTGAAATACAGTCGAATATAATCTCAAAATGGCGTTTAAATTAGACTAAATTAAAAATAATTTTATATCTCTTAAAATGCTTTTAGAATATTGATTAGTATATTTTTTGATTTCTAGGTAAATATGTAACCAAATTAAAACGTTCAAAACGTAAAAAAATGTGCATGGTTGAACATTGTCAGAAAGTAGATTCTTGAATAGGTTTTGCCAAAATGGGTTCAAAAATGTCAATAATTAATTAAAAGATACAGTAGCTTTATAATTACTTATAACTTACCGAATTTGATGAACGACATCTTTTATTGGAAAGATGAGATTGATGAGCTTTCATCATCGCTACTGCCTGAAGCACCAACGTCAATAATGAATGGCTCGACTTGTTCCTCTAAAATATTGTCCAGTTCCCACATTCTCTTTTCAACTTTGTCTTTCACGTGCTTAATACAGTTTTCCCATTTTTGCGCTGTTATTAATTCTAGTGCTTCTTTGAAAAGTCCTTTGAGGTCACAAAATTTAAAAGTTGTATTGTGCTTAGCTATATAATTTTTAACCTCTGCCCATATGAGCTCAATGGGATTGAGCTCGCAATGGTATGGAGGTAAAGGGAGCACAGTTTTATTTTGACTTGCTGCCATTTCGTCAATGGCGTATTTTTGATATTCCGCATTGTGATCCTTGACAATTCTTAATAATTGTACTTTCAGCATTGCTTCTTCAAAGTTGATATTTTTCGAGCGGAGCCAAGTTTGAACATCAACTTTCCTTGAAGCCGTTGTTGGGACCTTCTCCATTCTTCGAGAATGATGAGGCGCATTATCCAACACAATTACTGCGTTTTCCTCTAAGTCCGGTAAAATTTTTGAAAACCACTGTTCAAACGATTCGCCATTCATTTCCTCGTGGTAATCTCCAGTTTTCTTAGACTCAAAGCACCACAGACCGTCAACAACAAATCCATCCTCACTGCCAATATGGCAGATAATGAGCCTTTTCCCTTTACCTGGAAATCGAAGTACTAACTGGTGTAGATTTATTTCAATAAGCGAACCTTTTTCAAATGTTTTCATCACATTCAGCGAAAAAACATTGAGACATGAGTATCAGATTGCTATAATTGGAATTATTAAGTCATATTGAAAGAAAGAATATTGAACGTCGTATGATTACTCAGCGCTTCACAATTTAATTTAAAGTTATAAACCTTTAAAAAATGAATGATCAGGAACCTGAAATACGCGCAAATATTAATATTAACAAATTATAACTTTATAAAGCTTAAAGTATGAATTAAAATGATTAGAAATATTAGGAACGGTACACAATATAAAACTTAGTAACTTTTTTTAAGTTTATAATATACGACATATTTTAAGATTATATTAAAAAATTATTGAAATATCGAAAACACATAAAAACATGGCTTAAAAAAGTTCTAACAAATGAAAATGACAATAAAACATCCACGCATTTTATCGAAAGTTATAAAAGTTTTGTTACTTGTAATATGTTTTATCTGCCCCCTGGAATTAATGTTTAGAACCTTGTTCCCAAGGTTTGAAAAACATCCGATTGTTGTCTATTACTCGTATTTACCTGCTGGATTTTTTAATCCGGTGGACAGTCCATCTAGAAAGGCCCTCCTGGATGAAGTTACAGAATCATCAGCCCATACTTTACCTGTAGTGTGTCCTGCGTTTACCCACGTTTCATCAAGGTAATAAATCTTCCTGTTTTGATTTCTATATTTCCCAATTTTTGTTAAATAATCCCTCCTCCATAGCACAATTTCTTCTCTATCCAGTAGTAAACTATTACGACCCCGTTTTTTCCATTTGAAATTTAAATGCTTCAGTAACGCATGGAAAGTTGATCGTTTGAAATTTGGCAACGTTGTATCTCCATTTACCTCCTGCAGTACTTTATCTATAGTAGGTATTTCATTCCTAAAGAAGAATTCATGCACTTCCCTCCTAATCGCATGCTTATCAGCTTCATCCAATGATTTAACAATACTTTTGCGATGTTTACTGGTCATTGGCTCAGAAAAGGTGTGATTTTTTTTGTATTGTCTTAACACATTAAACACTGATGCGCGACACACCCCAACTTTGTGAGAAACATTCACAACAATTTCTTTGATGGTTGATGCCTCGTTCTCCTCGCGCTCGATCTTATATATATTCAAAATGACCTCTTTCATTTCTGCACTCAGGTGTCTTTTTTTAGAGCGTTTCCTAGGTGGACTACAGGAGTTTACAACTTCATCGGCAGTATCTGTACTACTGGGCGTTATGCGCAAGCAGTTGATAACAATAACAATCAATAACAAGGTATAACAATAACAACGACAAACTCAACAACTTAATAAGATAACAAACGAAAACGTCCAAAGAAATATCAAATTGCAATGATGCACACGACATACGTAACACGTCTGAACCTGAATGTGACTCTGCCTTGATACGACTGCTCTGCCGCTCGGCATAGGCATTTAATTGCGAATTGACCAATGAGGGCTCCTGTTTTACGTCGAGACGGCGGCGTTAGCCTGAAAATCACCCGAACCTTTTGTTTACATCCGGTCTATCTCTTATCTGAATATACTGTAGCCGCGTTGTATTTGGTTGTCATATGACAAGACTTCTGCCGTGCCTTGCGTATTTCTAAGGCTTTTCAATGACCAACCAGGCGTAGATGTCCGTAAGATTTCGAACAATCTTTGAAATTAAAATAGCTGATACAAAGTCTCAATGTACGTGGCTTCACTGGATCAGTTTTTGTTGAGTGTTCATTGGACGATGCCGCTACTTTTTAAAAGGGCCAACAATATTCATTCATGCATTTCATAGAATTTGTATTCCTATATCTACATTCATAAATTCAAGTTAAGTGCTGGAATAAAGAGTTTATAATACGTATATTCTAAAATATTCAAATGTAAATATTTCATGAATAAGATCAGCTCGAGTTTTTTAAGTCGAAAACCCGCTTGTAGACCCTGATGCTTTGATATGCGCTACGATACTGCCATGCAACAATTAGTAAAACTGCATATTACTGACTAAATTCTGTTAAAATAATATTTTGAAAAACAAATGACTACAGAATTCATGAAAAATCTCGTTTCAACCGACGACAGTAAGGTCTTTGAAAACAAACTATGATAGGGACAAGACCTAACGTTTGTATCATATAGTATTTTCTATCAGGACAAACAACATGGTTCCACTTAATTGTCGAAATACGCGTGAAATAGCGTCTCACAGTAATAAACAATGCATTCGCAACATACCAGTCGAAGATTACATAACAATTAACCGGTGTAGTATGACATCAGTTCTGGGTGGGTTCCCGCATTTTTTTTCTTTTTTTTGAGGGCTTTGCTGGTATTGCGTGGTGCAATCTTAGAATTTGTATTTGCTTCTTCGCGCGAATTCAGCATGTTACGGGACCTTTCACACTATTGTAGTAACACACTTTATTAACAAAATCATTGTACTGAAGATGTTCACATTGTGATCGAAACGTTAAACAATAAAGAATATCTTCTTCAACACGTGGTTTCGATTGGCGAGAAAAATATGGATGATTAAAAATCATCTAACTGCAAGTTAGATTATATTACTCGTATTTGCATTATATAGTCACTACAGCAAAACATGTTGCTGTGTATCTACTTAAAATTAGGAGGAAAACGAGATATTTGCCACCCTTGGCAGGATGATTTTCGACCCTTTGAGCGTATTGGTGAGCAGCACCAGTGCTTATTCTTGAAACATTGACTTATCTATCATGCAGACAAATATGACTTACCTCACAAAATTTTGCTCCATACTTGGGGGGCGGTGAGTCACAGAAGCGGTATCTACTTCTAGTACCACCTATGCAAGTACTTGAACAAGGCGTCCAAGCACTCCAAGCGCCCCATCCGCCATTGTCTCTATCTGTAACAATAGTACATTACATACCCTGGTTGAGAAGTAAGCCATTATTTGACAACCACTTTTAGATTCTGAAGCGTGTAGCGCCCAGAGATCTAACGTGCGAGATCAATAATGGTTTTCTCAAGTGAGATATGTGTATATATTTTTCACTAATAGCCATTTGCAATACTACGTAAGTATCAATATGTTCGATGTATGTCCTGCTAAATCGTCTTTCCAAGATCTACGGCTTATCAAAGGTTATTCGTATGTTCAGGTGGACCACAAATTAGGTTTCTGTTGTACAGCTCGGATTTGGAAAACTTTTAGCTGAGTAAAGGTTAGATTTGTCAAGAGTGTACATATAGGATAATTACGAGTACGTATGCTACTTCAACTTTGTTAATTGTTAAATATATGACATTGCCAGAATATTCTCAACATATTCCAAAAAATAATCCTAATAGTAGTTAAGTACTTAATGGCAGCGACCCATTATTATAGGTAGATGAAAAATCATATCATTACAGTTACAAGCGAAATTTTTGAGTATGTCATATTCATACACAGCAATTTCCTTATATCAATTTTATTATTTTCTCAAAATATCTACCTGTATATTCATGTTTCAAATATTCCACGTTTCAAACAGTAATTTGATATTTATTTGTTTATTAATTTATTTATTTATTGAAATCCAAATACAACGAAAACTAAAAGCTAAATCGCCAATTTTTTAGTCAAATGCAATAATATCTAGCTTTCTGGTGTAAGATATAACACCACATTTACTGTAGTTGATTGGAAGTCGATTTACAGCCCAACATTTAACTATTTTGGCTATGTCTTTTTGTAAGCGCGCACAGTCAGTGGTGGAAAAAATTGGAAAAAATTGGAAAAAAATTTCAGATCATCAGCATAGATTAAGTGGCTGCTGTCGATATCGCTAATAATATCGTTTATGAACAGTATGAAAAGCAAAGGAAGCAGGAGCCTTGAGGTACCCCTGAGGCTGGGAAGAATTTAATGGATTTGACACCCTCATATTCAACATATTGCTTTCTTACTGATAGATATGACTTAAGAAAGGGTAACAGTTTGCCGAGAATCCAGAATAGCTCAGCTTCGTTAATAGAATACTCTGATCAAGTTTGTCAAATGCTTTACTAAAATCTGTATAAATTACATCCACCTGGCTATTAGCATCTAATGCAGAGGAGACTGACTGAGTAAAACAGGCTAGGTTAGTTATGGTTGATCTACCCTTCATAAAGCCATGCTGAGAAGTACTTATTTGGGAATGTATATTGTGGTACGAGTATAGGAAATTATGAAGCAAACTTTCTGAGGCTTTGGAAAAGATACATACTAGGATTATCGCTCTATAATCACCCTTCTTGAAAATGGGACGCACCTTTGACTCACACCAAATTTCAGGAAACGTGTTAATCTTTAAACATAGGTTGAAGATCTTTGTCAAGTGATGAGCTAAGACGCAGGCACAGTCACGCACTAAAAATGATGGGGTTCCATCGGGTTCGGAGGTAAATTTATTTTTCATTTGCTGTAACACTTTAAAAACTTCTTGTTCGGAAAAGCTCTGAAGTATTATGTTAGTATGTAATTCCGGAATATTGATATATGTTGCGTTCGAGAGCATAGTATATACAGATTGAAAAAATAGCGCAAAAGCATTAGCAATTTCTTTGGGTTCGTCATACTGTTTACCATTATAGTTTACTTGGCTGACTGTGGAATTTTGTCCCCTTTTATTACAGATAAATGACCAGAATTTGTTCGGATCCTGAGATAAGCTACTTTGGATATCTACTAGATATTTTTGATATGCGTTACGCTCATCGCGCTTAATTTTGGTCATTAAGACTTTGAACTCAGTGTATGTGATCAAACTTTTATCCTTTTTAAGTTGTTTGTGTAGTAACTGTTTTCTTTTGAGATCTCTAATCATTTCACCGTTAAACCAAACTGGAAATTTGAGAGATTTGAGACTTGTGCTAGGGACACACATATTAAAAGTTTTATGAAGAATGTGATAAAATGTTTCCAAAGTTACGTTTACATCTGTTAAATTATCAAGAAACGTCCAATTAACCAAGCTTATTTGTTCATATAGTGCTACAAAATTGGCTTTTCTGAAATTATAAAATTCTCTGGCGCGTTTGATACTGTTTTTTGAATGGAAGCTCATGTTGATTATCATGACAAGCGGAGAATGATGAACATCCTCAGGTAGTAGATCATCATAAGCCTTAACGACGCTACATTGTTCATTTGATAACACTAAATCTAATAGCCTGTTATTTACATTGCGAACATCATTGAATTGAGAAAGATCTAAGAAACCCATGAATGACTGTGAGAAGATTTGAGATGATTTTCATTAACAAATTCGGGAACATTAGAGTTACCTAGAATATAAATACTTTTTCCAAAGAGGTAATCAAGCGATTCTAGATGCTCAAAGAATCTTTCATAGCAGGAAGTACTCGTGTCAGGCGGTATGTATATCACAAAGAAATAAGTCACTTCATTTTTATATCTAAGTTTGATTCCAATTATGTCAATACTGGGAATATCGTCTCTAATAAAAGTCATATCTACCTCTGATGCATCAAGTTGATTACGAATACCAATTAAGACACCACCTCCTCTAGTACACCCCATCGCAGAGAAATTTCTGCCCGCCCTAATTACAACGCATTTGTCAGTAAATAATTCAGAACTAAGATCTGCAGCCTGCAGTCAAGTTTCAGAACAACAGATGATATCATAGTTAGACATAGCGACATTTACAAAGAATTCTTTACACTTAGAGTTCATACCGCGTACGTTCTGGTAGTAAACAGAGATGCGACGATAAGAAAAGGTAGAAACTGTTACAAAATTCTGAGTATTTATCTGTTAATAGGGGTTACACCGGGAAAATCCGAACTAAGAAAACAATAGCCTAGCTTTAAACTCCTCAACTGTTTGTAAATAACATGGGCACCTAGAATCCCAAGCCGAATGTGATATACCCAACTGTTGAGTTGTCAAAACCAAAGCGCATTTTAGGCTAGAAAATTCACCTTTAGCAAAATAATTCTTTGACTTAGCTCATCTGTCTACTTGAGTTTCACTGCGGTTTCAATTATACCTGGTGCAAAAAATATCGGAATTAAGTTTAAGCTTAGCTTATAGGTGACGTTAGCAAACTGGTGCAACGGGCATTGAATATTTTCATTGCTTAGTGTCATTTACCGCATCAAGTATATAAATCAACGATTACGAAGTTTCCGTCCCATTCCGCAAATACTATGACACATATATAGTAGTCTGGAGCAAAACTGATAGGCTCAAATGTATGGCATTCGAAGCAGACTTATTTATGGCAGATAAAATCTACTTCTTTCCGAGGGTATCTTTGTTAGTAATGACGATTCATCCTCTTCTTCTCTCCCTTCATCACTAACAATGTTACCTGTACTATTATTATACATAGAAACCTATTTCGCCTCTTATTGAAACATGGAGCACCTACTACTCTGACAAATCCATATTATGGGCATTGTGAAAAAGAATTACCCAAACTGGATCTTAAATTTGAATATTTAAATAACAACTAAGTAGTTCAACGTCTAGACGCGCTTGTATTTAAAAACTACTGCAAAGCAAAGTTGGGGAAGTGCATTTTATAAAATACCATTCAATTTTCGAGAAATGTTGTCTCCTGAGGAATTTCTGTCAGATAATTCATTTTGAGGATTCTTGTGAAAAGGTTTCAGCATCCCCTATTCCTCAAAACAAACGATTATTTCGAAAATAAATAAAGGAAGCTAATAAATAAAATTAAACACGATAGCTATACACATTGCATTTGGTACAACTTACGTGCTTATTTCTAAATTTATGAACACATAACGTTGGAAACCATAAAAAATGCTGATCAAACGCTATAACATCCAACCTAAAGGAGGAGTTGAAAGTGACTACCTGTGGATTCAACACCAGCCCCTCAAACCCCTCAAAGACTCTCTGACTCTTTGGAAAATACCTGGAGTAGCACGAACAGGGCTCAAAGCCTTCTGTATACTCATACTTCGTATCACTTAATCCGAGGTGAGGAGAAGGAGAATTTTGAGAGAAGGCCGATAATTTCAGAGGTAAGATAGTAAGAATTTTACAAGAATTGATTGATTTATTTCAGAATTTTGCCTCAATATTCAATCCCGAATATCTCCAATACAAGTGACCTGACAAAAATTCCTTATTAAACAAAATTTATGGAGCATTGAATGGTATTTTATAAAATGCACGACCTTTCTCCGAAAAGGCCAGTGGTGTAGAGAAAATTTCCTATGCGGTGTCCAACTACCCCAGTTTCTACGTTCCTGCATTGGTGTGGGCCGGGAAATACTGTGTTTATTGCTGATGATGTGATTACTATTTTTTTTGAGTCCTAACTCAGTATCTTTCACCGCTCCGCTCCGTAGGTATAACTATTTTTTAAATTTCGTAAATAAAAACTTCATCACCCTTTACCTCGGTAGGGAAACATCTATGGACCCATATTAATACGCGCCTTTTTTGTTATTTTTGGATGTACTTTCTACCCTAAAAATATTGGCACGGGTTTCTGAAAGACCCCGTATAGCTTCAGAGGGCATATTCTACTCACACCCACATTGTATCGAATAGGGATTATAAAAGATACACTTTTGTACCGGCATGCCAATGATCGATGTATTCACTTGAAACAGAGGAAATATTTGTACTTTCTACGTGTATATTTCATCTTTGCATCAATCACAAATAAATCCTAACGCCTCGAGGAAATAAATGTTCACTCGTTCGGGCTCTGACATTTTGCATCATTTCTCTTCCTACTCGATATATAACTCAGCGTGAAATATTGGAAATTACATTCACGTGATAACAGATGTTCTTCTCCCTTGATAACGCACGTGTGACTGTGCTTATAGACATAGACATTGAAAAAAAATAGATTGCCACAGGAAAAA